CACCTTCTCACTTAACTTGTGTGTGTGTGTGTGTGTGTGTGTGTGTGTGTGTGTGTGTGTGTGTGTGTGTGTGTGTGTGTGTGTGTGTGTGTGTGTGTGTGTGTGTGTGTGTGTGTGTGTGTGTGTGCGCGCGCGCGCGCGTGTGGGGAGGGGGCTGTAAACTAGAGAACAGAAAATGAGTATTACGAGACGGTGGAAATATGTCGTGTGGTGTGGGTGGAGGGACCATGCTGGGGTGGACCAGGCTACCTGTATATGTTGATGACCACACCTTACTTCAGGTGATATATGTCACCTTTTTTGCTATTAAGTGACGGGGTCTTAATGGTGAAATTAGTCTCCTAGTTTCCGGTGTGTGACGAGCAAACTATAATTCTAGGTTAAGAAATATATGAGGTCCTTCTATAACGTGGCTGGCAAGTGTCCAAACCCTAACGTGTTCTGTTGTGTGTACATCCACATTTAGGCAGCTACCATATGCTATATGAAGGGCCAGTCACACAGGGGTATGTACTCACCTAGTTGTGTTTGCGGGGGTTGAGCTTTGGCTCTTTGGTTCCGCCTCTCAACTGTCAATCAACTGGTGTACAGATTCATTAGCCTATTGGGCTCTACCATATCTACATTTGAAACTGTGTATGGAGTCAGCCTCCACCACAACACTACTTAATGCATTCTATTTGTTAACTACTCTGACACTGAAAAAATTCTTTCTAACGTCTCTGTGGCTCATCTGGGTAATGTGATCAGTAGCCTACACTGGCAAATTTTAGATGGAGTGTGAGGCTATTGTCAACATCACGAGAGCTGATAAAGTATGTTGTTAAAGATTTGCAACCTGGAACAAAAAGTTCCAAGCAGCACGGGCTATGGTGAGCCCGTAGTTGATAAAGTAATTGCAAAGCTCCAGGTACCTCATTCCGGTAGGTCTGAAGGGTCTGATGATTGGACATTCAATAATGTAGAGTGTTGTTCATGACCCAACTACTACTAGTAGGGTTAACACATGGAGTGGTCGGGATTGGGAGATTCGTCACTTGCAACAGGAATGGAGGTACCTCGACCTGGTTCAATTTTATCTTTAATGTATGCTGATTTGTCTACGATGTCTGTCATCCCAATGAGATATATATTTTCACGAGATAGCATCTATGCAAAAGATTCTGAACCCTTAATTTTGTGCAGCGAACAGGTTATTTATGATTTTTATAATGAAGTTCTGGCTGTCTATATTACAGAAGTGCAGACTTTGAATCAAAGAAAATACCCCCTCCTGTGAACAAATCCACAAGGACCGTGATAAAGGTTCGAACCTAAGCACGGGATGTTCCAAGATGCACCTTAGTCGACTGTACCACGATGTTTTGTTCATTTGATATATCCGCTATTGTGATTTATGTGTGTACCCCCCTGCTGTGTTTGTAGTGTAGCTAGTTGTAATATGGGTAGTTATGTTAATGTACTTCAAACAATTGTTCACCTGACACTGACAGTCTGAGTACAAGTATTATTTCTATAAAAGCTAAAGGTATTGGCTGTTGCATTACGGGCTCACCATAGCCCGTGCTACATGGACATTTCGTTCAGAGTAGCTAAATCTAAAACAACAACGGCTGGTGCGGTGCGTCCCGTTGACAGCGAGTGAAGCCGTCAAACATCTAATAATGCATGGGAGACCTTATGTTTGTGACAGGAAATTGTTTCAGGCGTAACTACTTTTAGAATGTTATTGTTTTAGATATAGCTACTCAGAACGAAATGTCGACGTAGCACAGGCTACACGGTAAAGACTTCCACGCAGCTGGTGAGCCCGTAATTGAGTTCGGTTCGTGATAACCTTGTTACTGTGATGTTTGGGTCAGTTTTAAATGGAGGTGGGGTTTTCCCCTTTACCCCTGTTTCTTTTTCGCTTCTGTTTTAACGCATTGGTTTTAGTCTTGTTTTAATAACATTATCTTGGTGACGGATGTAGATGCAGAATATTCACTTGTGTGTCCCATTCTTCAACTGCTTTTCTAACCATTGTAGTCGCTGTGGAATTTGTATCTAACGCAGCTGCTGTCGTTGGATTAATGTTGAGTTCCAGTAAGTAGTGCAATAGTGGCGCCTCTGCTTCTGTTCCACAGATATGACACTCATTAACTATTCAAATTCAAATTTTTATTCAGGTAAAAGTACATACATAAAAAATGAGTTACAAACATAAAGTTGGATTTACAGATAGAGCTAGTACATACAATACCTAAAGCCACTAATGCGCATAGCGTTTCGGGGATGGTGTGGGGAAAAAACCCCACTGAGAGTAAAACTTAATAGTAATTGAGATTAAAGTATAAATTGTGTTAAAAAAAGGAACAAAAAAGAGGAGTGGGACATGGCAGAAATCAGCAATTTTACAAATTGGTCAACAAACAGCATTGTTTAAAATAGCAAGACATGGGTTGACATTTAGGGGGTAAGGTAGGTTACATGGAGTTTATTAGGTAGTACTTAGTTTTTGTCTTAAACTGGTTCAGAGAGGTACAGCCTTTGACATGATTGGGAAGGTCATTCCACATTCTGGGTCCCCTTGATTTGGGACCATTACTGGTCCCAAATCTGGTACTATTATTGAGTTCATTATCTCCCAGCAGCACTTGTAACCAAGTTTAAGTCTGTGTATGGCTACTGCAATGTCTCTGGATATCTTTTTGCCAGGCTTGAAAGAGGAGTACCCAGTGGCTTGTTCGTACCACATCGCAGTGGATCTTCCTTCCGCTACTTTGGCTCTGTGGCGACTTTTATTATTATTTTATTACTATTATTTTCTACCACAGACGTGGCCATACATTTACAATGCTAATCAGCATATATACATTTTCTTCTGTCCTCCATGGACAGTGTGAGAGATTTGTCAAACATAAAGTTCAGGGATTCATTAAACAATCAACCACAGAAGGTGATTGTAGTGCTTTTAAAATGCTAGGCTAAGCTACATACGTAAATACATAGATATACAGATTTATGTATGCTACATAAGGTGTTCGATGTGTCTTTTACATAGTGTCATTAATGTGCATGTACAAAGGTGAAATTTGATAGTTGGGAGTATTTTCTTCTTGCTTTGCTCCTTAATCTGTGAAAAACTTGGAGGTATTTTAACCTTTAACCTGTATTTTAACCTTTACAGGTAGAGCAGTGGCAGTTTTTGCTAGTGAGTCTGCCTTTTCATTGCCATCTATGCCAATGTGACTTGGTATCCAATTTAGGGTGATTGACAGCCCTAGATTGTGTGCTTCTTTTCCTATATGTAGAATTTCTGTGATGAGTTGTATATTATCTCTGTACTAGCTGGATAACAATGCCTGGAGCGAAGATTCAGAGTCGGTATGAATGATGACATCAAGTAAATTATTCTTAATTGTATTATGGCCTCCTTCAGGGCATATAATTCTGTTTGCAATGTTGAGCACCCACTATTCATGTTCCAGTAAGCTTCATGGTTGTTAGTGTAAACTGCTGCCCCGGCAGAACCTCTTTCTTGATCAACTGGTTCATCTGTGAAGATGTGAGTGGTTGTAGGTCTTGAGATGGTTTCCATTTGTTATTATATGACTGCTTTGAGTCTCTGCGAGTTACATGCTGACTTTTTTATTTTTTGACTGGTAATCCTTCACTGATTATTTTTAGATTCGATTATTCCCATGGAGGAGGCTACCGAAAGTGTTGATATGGTCTATCTTCCCCCTTTGTTTTTAATGGTCTGTTTCATGTCCACTTTCTCTACAATCTTGACCAGATTATCCGTCCATGCACTTGTTTTATATTGAAGGTTTCTGTGAAGCGATCTGTGTATGCTATCTTTGATTAACAGTCTGGCGGTGGTTCCAACAAGTTTTGCTGTTATGGTGGCTATCCTTTGTTTGATCCTAATTTCTAAGGCTGGTAAGTTGGTTTCCATTCTTAGATTCTCTCGACGCGTCCATATAGGTGCTCCCAGCATTGTCCTGAGGGCATAATTTTGTGACACTTCCAGTTTCTCCCATTGGGTATCACTGAGGGATGTAAGAGCAGGGGCAGCATAGTCAATGAGTGACCTAACTGCTTGAACGTAATACATTTTGAGTACTGGTAGAGATGCACCATCTCTAAGACTTGTCAGGGAGCGCAAAGCTGAGTTTCTGGCTTTACAACGTTGCCGAAGATATTCAATTTCTTGAGTGAATTTCAACTGGCTGTCTATTATGACTCCAAGGTATTGAAAAGAGGTAACACACTCAATTTCATGTCCTTGTATTGTGAGTCTGATGTCTTGAGTTCTCATTTTAACGGTCATTGCTTTGGGTTTATTGCTGTTTATCTTCACTGCTATGCGTTCCGCTTCCCGGCTGATGATGTCTAGACATTTTTGTACATGGTTCCTGGCGCCTTTTCCATTGATGATGACCACAAAGTCGTCTGCATAGGTATGAAGTTTGGCTTTTGGACTACCTGTCAACGTGTTCCCAAATTATATGCACCTCACCATCCAGTTATCATACACACCCAGCCCCCCAAAAGAGTTTTGATCTGAAAATAAGTTGAATCAATTACAAATTACAAATACATCGAAATAAAATCAAGAATTAAAGGGTACAAACTCGCAATTGCTCGAAAGATCTATATCAACCATTGGCAATTTTTCCTTAGCGCTTATCCATGACCCACAACTTACCAACAGCACTTCCCAGGCACTGTAGCGAGCAGTGAAGCCAAACTTGACCTCCAACACTTCACATTTTCCATATAAAACATTAAATATTCTCTGCTCTTCAAATTAAGGTTCCACCAGCTGATTGCCAGCGTCATTCCTTCACATCTTATGCAATTATTATACTATATCTTGAAGGCTATAATAGTTTCCTCCATACCTAACACCAGAAATTAAATAAAATGAATTAAAAAAAATATATTTTATAGGATAAACATGTTATTGATGTTATGAGGATGTGTTGAGTGACAAAAATGAGAGGTGCGTTGGTGGATGAGAATGAGAGGCAGGGGTCCGGCCGCTAGGGTTCAAACAGCGTCTCGTCCGCCCGAGAAGTTTTACACTTTTGTGAGGAAAATGTCGAGCGATGAAGGTAAAGTTGAGCTAAGGTGGTTACTAGAGTGTTGAGGGAGTGTTGGTGGCGAGTTGTGGGTGTTGTTGTGTGATGAATGGAAGGGAATACTGACCAGTAGAGGGGGTGGGAGGGGAGGGACGGGCTGGCCAAAGTTTCCTTTTCTCCCCATACTTTTATCACTGATTTACCTGTGTAATACCCGATGGTTACCTGTTATTTATATAACGAAATGCCACTTTACAGGTTAATATTCCCTGTAATGTTGGTTATCCCAGGCACTCGTTACTCTAAGCCTGGCTTCCTGAGGCCTAATGACCAATATAAAATGATAGGCTTGATTTTTTTTTTCTCACCTAGTTGTGCTTCTGGGGGTTGAGCTTCAGCTCTTTGGTCCCATCTCTCAGCTGTCATTCAACTAGTGTACGGATTCCTTAGACTATTGGGCTTTATCATATCTACATTTGAAAGTATGTATGTGTGTATGTTAACATTCCACTGGAATTAAAATGCTTCAGTGAGAGATGTCGAGGCTAACATTGTTTTATGTATTTGATTTGAATATCTTGGGGTCTTAAGCCATCTGTTTTATACAAAGCCTTTCATGTTGACCAAACCATACACTAGTGAAGTGAAGGGACGACGACATTACGGTCCGTCCTGGACCATTCTCAAGTCGATTGTGGTCAATTTGGTCAACATATTTCTGCCACGTTATTGTGTCTCCTCGTCTGCAAGCCTTTCATGTTTAGAGCCTATTCAGCCTATTACAAGATGAGGCTCTTGTCACCTGAATGGGTTCATGACCTCTAAGTACACTTGACTTTTTTAAAGAAGTAGTTTGGATTACTATCCCCCCAGCATGTTCTGTATTATAATGGTCTCAATGAAATCGGCCTTGTCAGGTCTGGTGTGCATTGTTAGTCCCGTTTGGTCACGTTGGGGTTCCGTTCCGTCCCACAACCCACAACAGTTGTATAACTGTGGTACTGTACCTATTTAACTACTAGGTGAAGAGGCATTGGGTGAAAGGAAATGTGTAGTTTTGAGCCAAGGATGTAGACCACTGTGCTACAGGACCCATAAAACAGTGTTATTCAGTATAGGCTGAATAACACTTGGTCTATATAAGTAATTACCTAAGTGTAGTTACATGATGAGAGCTACACTCGTGGTGTCCCGTCTACCCAGCACTAAACAAATCCACAAGGGCCGTGATGAGGATTTGAACCTATGTCCGAGAGCATCCTAGACGCTGCCTTAATCGACTGAGTTGATCCCTCAAATATGTGCTGTGTGTCACCACACCTCAAGTGTGGTGACAGTAATGCAAAAAGGTGGCAGTAAATAATGGTGACAATCTTTCAAAAGGAAATGAGAATATAAGAAATTTACAGTAGAATTGAGCATGTTCTTCTAGGTGCTAATATACAATCAATAGGATCCCTATTATCAGAATCCATGTTTTCCGTGTCTCAGGTTATCCAGAAAGGTGATCAATTTTTCCATGCCTATTTTTATCCTACATATGAGTGGACCAGCTCTTGGGGTTAGGGTTTGGCTTGTTCATTCATTTGTCAAAATGTTTATAGAGCAGATGTGACACAGAACTCTTAAAAATTCTTATATCAAAAAATTTAAAGATGCACAGGTTTAAAAAGCTAAGTTTTTTTAATTATTAACACGGACACAGCAGAGCTGCTGCTGTTATAATCTGTATGAGGGATTACCGAGTATAGATAAAGAACTAGCTACAAGTTCATAAAATATATCCATATCGCACGAAGGTTAGTTATAAGTGAAATCGAAGATTGAAAAATAGGGGATGAGAGTCTAGTCTACTAGCTTGCACTATTAAACATTGTATAGCATATGAGATTGTCTTCCAATATTCACGAGTGAATGAAATATTGAAGAACTCAACATATCTTGTGCCATTTGGTCTAAAATCATTGATAACACTTGGTGTCAAGAATTTTATGTTAGGAACTTAGCTAATTGCTATGATTTGTACAGACATGCAACTTAATCCTGAAGATCACCAAAATTTTTGTATTTCAGATTCATGTAACAGTGACGGTGAATGTGAAGTCTTCTTTGGACCTATAACGGAAAAAGAGGAGCAAATTGCAGCGAGGTATCGAAACAGACTGACTGAAGTTTTTCAACATGGGCCCCTGCTGCGGCGTCGCTCCTCAGTGTATGCATTGGGGATTTTTAAATGAAATTGTTTCATATTCAGTACCATACTGTAATTAAAGACTCATCTTAGGTTTTGAGGGCTCGTCTTTTCAATCCATTTCTCACTAGTGTCTTATATGGTTTACATACAAATACTGTACTTTGCAACCAATCTGTTTTGTCCCATTGCCCTACGTTGGGTTACAGTATTAAGAGAGTTGGTGGACTTCATGTTTAATCCTTGGCGTATGGCTATCGTTTAAGGGGCCACCCTGCCTGTGCACAAAACAGTAAAAAAAAAAACATTTGTTCTTATGAAATTTTACATTTGCATGCAAAAAAAGTAAGAAAAAAAAAAATATATATATATATGTACAGTATATATTAGTTATTGGTTTGTGCACATTGGTAGGAAGCTAGTGGGTAAATTCTTGGATGCGTTAACTCGTGGTGATGCAATTATGCTGACTTGCCATGTAAGAGAGAGGGCTGTGATATTCAGATATTCATGTCAGATGGTTTGTGTGTTTGTTGTTTCATTTTAATTTACACAATGTGTGGAATAACTTTATGTACACACAACTAACCAAAGCAGGGATTGAGTACTGTATATAGGCCTACAGTGTAATATGCAGACCTATATTGCACCTAAACATGTTCCCGACACAGCTCAAAAGAAGTGTCTCACAGCCCACTCCTTGACTGCTATTATGTCTGGGAACATAATATAGAAATAGATTCAAACACTGACAGGAAATACCATCTTGCAATATAATGATAATCACAGGCTACTCGTACACAATAACCTCGTTGCATAGTAAGTAATTAAAGTCAATAACAGAATGTCATGGGTCTCGGCTAACTCCATTACATCTATATAGATATATCCATAATTAAATCATTTGTATAAAAATTTGGCAATAATAACTAAAATTGACATATAACTGCATTGCCTTTTAGGATCAACATATGGAGATGACAAGAGGTCATAGATATAAACTAGCTAAACACAGATGCCGAAGAAATATAAGAAAATTCACGTTCGCAAACAGAGTGGTAGACGGTTGGAACAAGTTAGGGGAGAAGGTAGTGAAGGCCAAGACCGTCAGTAGTTTCAAAGCGTTATATGACAAAGAGTGCTGGGAAGACGGGACACCACGAGTGTAGCTCTCATCCTGTAACTACACTTAGGTAATTACACTTAGGTAATTACACTAAGGGTCAAGGACTGGAAGAGGAAGTTTTCTTGGGAAATGGGCATCAAATTCACTTGGAAAAACACCCTTTTGAACATGACCATTGATTGATCACGATTCATCTCTTGGTTTTGCTCACCTGTGTGAATTTTTTTTCATGTTAGGATGGGGGGATGACCAGATCAGGCTGGGTACTCTGCTGGCATGTTGGTACGGCCACCTGATGGTGGAAAGGGGGTAGTGGCTTGTGGTAGCTGTTGTACTCTACTGTATTTGGTAATTATCGTAATGTTACTCGTTAATCTTGATTTATCTTGAGTAGCACCTGGAGGGGCTTTAAGCTCTTACGGGGGGGCTTTAAGCTCTTATGAGGGGGCTTTAAGCTCTTAAGAGAGATCCCGATGGGGATCTACTGGCACCAGTATGACCCTGCAGAGGCTGGTTTAAATTTATTTTAAATGCTCTGTCAGACGCAGTTGGATCATATATGTGACCAGACATCGTGCTCAGTAAGGAGGGTTTCATATGAACTCAAACCTTGTTGTTCAAAATCCAGAGAAGTATTGACAAACCATATCCAGTTACTAGTATATCAGCAATTTTCACCCTTTTCTCATGCTCGTGGCTGTATTCACTGTTATGTTTATTAACCTAAGCAAATTATTTTACTATATTTATTCTATGAAGGATGGTACATAATGACCTTTCACTAAATTTGTACCATTGATCTGAGAACAAACTTCAAAGTTACTGTATAATAAGAGTGCTGTTTACAGAAGCAGTGGAAAAACTGCATGGTCTGTTTATTTATCTTCAGTTCTTAGTCCTAGTATAATACTCTGGATACACCACCTTTCTTTCAAAGCTATTTCTAATCTGTGGTTCAGTATGGCAGCTAATCAGATTAATCTTTGAGACATTGTCCTTTTGAAATTTGTAAATTGCGTCATGATTTAGATTGCGCAGATAAACTTTCATTCTGATAGCTTTCATTTTATGCAAATTTAAAAAAATGTGAACACCATTTTCAGCCCATCACTTGCATGCCTTGAGGAGAAGGACGAACAGGGATGTAACACTAGCTTTGAAGGTTCGCCGAGCAGAGATGTGCAAGATTTCATTGGCCAGATATCGACAGGATACAAACTCTCATCTGTAGGAGTGGGCAGCCTGCACGGGACTTCACAACTGTCGCATCCCACGTTGGATTCTGAGCTGGAGAATGAAGAATTGTTTGCACTTGTCCCTCCCCACGAGGAGATGCGGGAAAATTCGAAAGATGGGATAACTGATGACAGTCTCCATGTGGCAGTTGGTGAAAATGATTCTCAGAAATCATGGGAGTGGAGTTTGTCAGACAATAGTAATTTAATTTCCAGATCTGACTGCTCGCATATCAGTTGTGAGAGTGTTCCTTGTTTGCACTCTCGCTCGGAAGGTGGTGAAGAACCATATACTTTCTGTAATGAGAGTGTTGCACCGGGGGGAGCTGCCGAGTGTGTTGCACCGGGGGAAGCTGCCGAGTGTGTTGCACCGGGGGAAGCTGCCGAGTGTGTTGCACCGGGGGAAGCTGCCGAGTGTGTTGCACCGGGTGAAGCTGCCGAGTGTGTTGCACCGGGGGGAGCTGCCGAGTGTGTTGCACCGGGGGAAGCTGCCGAGAGTGTTGCACCGGGGGAAGCTGCCGAGTGTGTTGCACCGGGGGAAGCTGCCGAGAGTGTTGCACCGGGTGAAGCTGCCGAGAGTGTTGCACCGGGTAAAGCTGCCGAGTGTGTTGCACCGGGGGGAGCTGCCGAGTGTGTTGCACTGGGGGAAGCTGCCGAGAGTGTTGCACCGGGGGAAGCTGCCGAGAGTGTTGCACCGGGGGAAGCTGCCGAGAGTGTTGCACCGGGGGAAGCTGCCGAGTGTGTTGCACCGGGGGAAGCTGCCGAGAGTGTTGCACCGGGGGAAGCTGCCGAGAGTGTTGCACCGGGGGAAGCTGCCGAGAGTGTTGCACCGGGTGAAGCTGCCGAGAGTGTTGCACCGGGGGAAGCTGCCGAGAGTGTTGCACCGGGGGAAGCTGCCGAGAGTGTTGCACCGGGGGAAGCTGCCGAGTGTGTTGCACCGAGGGAAGCTGCCAAGAGTGTTGCACCGGGGGAAGCTGCCGAGAGTGTTGCACCGGGGGGAGCTGCCGAGTGCGTTGCACCGGGGGGAGCTGCCGAGTGCGTTGCACCGGGGGAAGCTGCCGAGTGCGTTGCACCGGGGGAAGCTGCTATTTGCTTTTCAAACTCATTAAAATCACAGCTGTTTGACATTGCAGACTGTAGTGCTAAAAATGACATTCATGATAATGTTTACAGTTCTATTGATGACTCGGTTGAGCTTGTACAAAGACCACCAGTTGAAGGACACACAACCTCCACAAACAGAGTGACAGCTTTAGCAGCAACCTTAAGGGAGAATGAATATGATAACCTGGCAACCTCATTCAATTTTGGAGATTATACGCTAGATGGCTCGGACAATACCAATGACATTGGGATTAAGAAATGGTTAGAGGAAGGTAATACACACTCAGAAGTGTCCGATGAGACCAAGGATTTCACTGGTGAGTGCGTTGTATTAAGAGAGTCTGTCGGCTTCCTTTTAAATTCACTAGAGAAAGATTTGCGTGGCCTTGTAGAGAGCAGTGATGAGACCCATTCAAGAATTCCTGGGGAGTACAAGTCAACACAAGCAAGTGAAGAAAAAGCTTTAATATCCACTGTACCGGCGGAGGAGGAAAACAAAAGGCCAAAGGTCACAGTCGAGGTCATGTCGAGTTTACCCGAGGCTGTAGTCGGCACCAGTGTACCAGAGTCTGCAGTCAGCACCAGTGTACCAGAATCTGCAGTCAGCACCAGTGTACCAGAATCTGCAGCCAGCACCAGTGTACCAGAATCTGCAGCCAGTACCAGTTTACCAGAATCTGCAGCCAGTACCAGTTTACCAGAATCTGCAGCCAGTACCAGTTTACCAGAATCTGCAGCCAGTACCAGTTTACCAGAATCTGCAGCCAGCACCAGTTTACCTGAATCTGCAGTCAACACCAGTTTACCAGAATCTGCAGTCAGCACCAGTTTACCAGAATCTGCAGTCAGTACCAGTTTACCAGAATCTGCAGCCAGTACCAGTTTACCAGAATCTGCAGCCAGTAATATTTTACCAGAATCTGCAGTCAACTTGAATGATAAGATGATAGATCAGTTGAGTAATTTAAAAGCGTTCCATGAATTGGATATCAGAGAAGGAAATGCATGCATGACGTCAGATTGTAATGAAAACATCATGGCGCAGTCTCTCTCAGATGAAGTGATGACAGAGCAAATGGATCCTTTTGATGTGGATCCAGGTATTGATTTTCTAATGGAAATTGAGGCGCCTATGGATGAAAAGTCTTGTTTTGAAGTAGAAAAATCACGGAAGGTACGACAGAGTTATTACAGTGCTCTTGAGGTCATTAATGTTGACAGTAGTGAAGTATATGGGGATTTTCTAACCAGTGAGAGGTTGCATGATACCATTGGCCATGAACAATGCCATTCTTATGAGAAAAGTCGAAGCTCCGATGATCTTGACGTTGACAGCTACGGGTCGGCAAACAAGGCTATGGTTATTTCACATTCGGATAACACCCCAGATTCCGAGTTATCTAATGTGCCTCACTCTTTAAGTGATACTGTGTCAGAAGGTTACAATGTTTGTGTTAGTAGTGAGGAGAGTCGGGAGTACAGAAGCCCACCAATTGAGAATTATTCCTTACACACTCCCAATATGCCACAGAAATCCTGTAACACTTACACAGATAGTACAAAAGGAGTACAGTCTGACTCTCTCAAATTCAGTATTACTAGCAGCGAGGAGGTGTGGGAGTATGGAAGCCCAGTACAAGAGAAATGCTCCTTGCAGACTCAGAATACACCTGTGAAGTCCTGTGACACTTCAGATCTGAAAGGAATGCAGCTTGATTCTCCTAAATTTAATGATACAATTGAAGAGATGGAAATGATGCTGAAATATGGAGTAAACTATGGAGAAGCAATTAAGAATGATGTGATTCCTTTAGACAACAGTACAAGAAAAAGCTCAATTGATAATGATAACAATATGCAACACATGGTAGATGACTCCATTATTGACATTCCCAGAAAATCTAGCATTGCCAGTTCCGTTTCAAATTTCCAACCTGTACTGGAATCGACAAGGGAATCTCTGTATCAGGAGACGAAAAAGGTAAATATTTTACAGTCCCCCTCCAAACAACACAGCATGCTAAAAAGGGAGCCGCCTCCAAAGCCACCTCGCAACATTTTCTCTCCTAGTGTGACCCCTAAGAAAACTATCTATATCAAAGCGTCCACTCCAAACACCCCCAAACATACTACTCCAAGGTCCATGGAAGTAAAAGGAAAATGTACTTACAACAGGGTGACTCCCACCAAGAAAATGGCTCGTGTTTTAAATGAAACTCCTCAAAAACTAGGTTTTGAAAAAAATAAGTCATTTACCCCAATAAAAACTACTGCATCAAAACTCAAATCTCCATCAACAGTGCCACGAAACCCCATTCATTGTTCAGGCCTGACGCGTTCGGGATCATTAACAAACATTAGGAAAGGTTTAGAACTTGGCCAGTCACCAGTCAGAACACCAACATCACAGCCTCGCATAGTAAGCAGACTTCACCCTCAGACTTCACTATCAACACACAACACTCCAGTAGTGCAGAAATTTTCCTATGGTATGCTTGGCAAACAACCTGCAACTTGTTCCCGCCTTCCTCCTCGTCCAACCCCCAAGAGAGCTTTAAAATCTATACTGAAACAAACCCCCACCGAAGGACGTAATCTTCAAGCACAGTCAAGGGTCAACTTCCCAAGTAAAGCTCCATCTCCTGCAATACCCAGGTACTTGAAGCCAAAACGAAATATAGAAAGTCCTGTTGCAAAGTACCTGAAGGAAAATCCACCGCCCAGTTTAATGTTAAACATTAAACCCCGCCACAAAATCAGCCCCCAGAAAATGCAGAGTGAGTTAGCATCCATGAAAAATCCTGAACAGATACTTGATGCTCACCAGGGGAGATGTGGAGCACACAGTGTACAGCAGCAGCAGTCTCCTAAACTTTGTGAAGACATGGAAAGCAGCTTTGTCAAACAAGGGACAGTGCTTTCAAATATCCAGGATAATCTCAACATATTACAGTCAAAAATGGAGAGTAACCAGGTGAGCCAAGAGTCTTGTTTTTGTCAGTGTCTGGATTCATTAAGTAATTTTTTGCTAGCATTTCAGTGCTAGTGAAAACATATCTTACGGTTTTCTTAGTTTGTACTTTTATCCTTTTTGGTCTAAACTACAGTCCATATAGCCTTCTATTTAAACTGTACATATACTCTGCTAAATTTATATGTAAATTGTATGGTCTTGCATAGTATCCAAAGTTGCTTAACCCACCTACTTCCTATAACCTTAAAATAACTTCATATTTTTCCAGTTTGCCTTGCACTTCCTTTATACTTGAAACCATTAAATATTTTCTTTTGTTAGTTTGGCAAAATTTAGTTACCATTATCAAATGTAACAGGCAAGATGTCAATCTGTCTTGGCAACTATATTTTATATTTATTCTAATGGACTCTATTACTAATGGAAGAATAGGTAGATACAAGCAAGAACATCTGTGTATTCCTCATGATAAATTATAAGAGGCATATTTATCCTCAACTCATAATTGTTATAAATAAAACAAAACATCAAAACCTCCGTACATCTTAATGGGCAAACTCCCATTTTACTTTATATTTATCATTTTGATTCACTTTCAGTTTTAGTTTAAGAACATTCTGTGAATATTTTTATGGAGAAATTAATACATGTGCTTGTTGTAGGCTTGTGCAGAGAGAGAGTGTATACTAAAGCAGCCAACACCTGCTGACATGGAGGAGCCGTGTCTGCCGTCTGTTGTGTATTCTTCAGCTGTTCCTGTTGTATTGGTGGGTGTCGTGGAATCACTCAGTATTATTATTGTTGTTTCTGCCATTAGTGGCCAATAAGCTTTCCCAGAGCCTAGTAACCCCATACACTGGCCTAAAAACATGATCCTATAGCTCATTAGTACTGTACTGTAATCCTTTTAGCACCCATAATATTTGGTCATGTTCAGTCTTGCTTTTAAATTTTGTGCAGTTTTTCTATAAATATGCTTGAATGTTAGGTAATTAAATAATTTTGAAATGCATACATAAGATTTCATTAGGCTACCCACAATGGTGCTTACTATTGTGACTCAAGAAACAATCAGTAAGAAGGAAAAGTAGTATTGCTTCCAGTCAGAAGCTAACAGCAGGTTCACTGAGGCCGGCTGGTCTGTTAGTTAATAGTGGGTATACAACAGTGGGGTAATTTTGAGTCTGGCTTCAGGCTGGGTTTGGGGGGAGTAGAACTCTCGAAACTCTCTCCAGGTATGCTCCAGATAACACAAACCCCAAGTTTAACACATTATTGACCTTTGCAATTTATCTACAGACAGCCCTAGGTTTGTGGGGTACTGTAGAACACCAATTCAATGATAAGTGAGTGCAGGGCGACCCCCTATTTACTAGGTCCCTATTCAACATATTTTGTGGTTTATCTAGACTTAAATAAATCTGCTTCTTCAAATAAATTTACTGGATTTAAGTCAGTTAATTAATGATTAACAGTTTTGTCTCTGTGGCAGCCAGCACTTATTTAAAAAAAAAATACCTAGCCAAATTTAATAAACATATCTAAGCCATCACACTGTAAATAAAGTGAGAGGATAGAAATACAATGTTTGTTAACAGAAGCATTCATAAATGTGGGCAAAGTTGTATAAATGACTGTGAGTGACAGATGGTTTTGCACCAGAAGGTTTCTTGAGAAACTCAACAATAGGCTCCAAGAGGTCTACAGAACAGAACCAGATTGGAAAAAGGGCGAGAGACAGTAGGTGACTAGAAGCAACATTACACGATACAGAAGTACTGTAACTGAAAAGGTTTAAAAAAAAAAAAATAACTGGACGCAGCAAAATCTGTAAGGCCAGACATAACACCATGGCTGTTGGAGTACTTTCTTACTTGCTAACAAAGATTTTTAATAAAACACTAGACTGGAGAACCCTCAAATTTTGCAGACGATGAGTTACAATAACGTGACTCATATGCAGGCGATGAGTCACAATAACGTGGCTGAAGTATGTTGACCAGATCACACACTAGAAAGTAAAGGGACGACGACGTTTCGGTCCGTCTTGAACCGTTCTCAAGTCGATTGTGATTGATTCAGAATCGACTTGAGAATGGTCCAGGACGGACCGAAACGTTGTCGTCCCTTCACTTTCTAGTGTGTGGTCTGGTCAACGTGACTCATTTCAAGACATACATTAACATGACTTTTCAAGATTATCTATAAAGAATATGCAAAACCTATTCAGTATTTGAATGCACACCATCCATCTGGAATCTGCACCGTGTGAAGTGTCAAAAAAAAAAATGCAGAGGTTTGCAACAATAGTGTCAAAACTTTAGGACTAAGCTACGAGGATAGGTAAAGAGAACAAAATTTCTCATAGTTTAATGGGGGGAGAAGGAGCAGAGGGTATGATTACTACATACAAAATGCAGAGGGGAAGAGAGGAAGTGGACATGTGGAGCCTCTAAATTGACAAAATAGGCCAAGATGGGTATAGGGGGAAGGTGAAAATGCAGATAAGTCAAAGAAATGTAAGAAAATACTTGTTTCCTGCATGAATCGTCGACAAGTCGGATACACTGAAAGAAATTGTGGAAGCCACCTCTATTCACAACTTTTAAGGTCAGAGTCAATAAAGAATTTGAACTTCAGGAAAGTTACTATTAAATGCAATAGGTTGGCTAGATAGATGAAACATGGATAGACAGTAGACATAAAGTACCTGTACTGGGTCTCACTTCCATGTACGTAGTCACTTTTATACAAGTGAAATTTTCCCCTTCCCTAGGCCTGTGTTAATTACACTAGCCTAAACTCATTATATTCCTGTTTGCTCATTGCAGTTTTATGCAATATTTCACCCCTGGTACTCATTATGCATAACACTACTATTTATTCCAAGGTATTCTGGCCTGAGGATACCTCTCTTGATCGACTACAATCAGAACACAACTGCATATAGTTTTAGTTTAGGGTCCTCTAAATGTAAAGTTCCATAAACAGCATAATGTGTGTGTATTGCCTGTAGATGGTGCTGTTTCAGTTCTGAAAAGTGACATCAACAGAATGGAATTTGGTAGGATGTAGAGATGAATGAGTACTTGAGGGTTAGTCGAACTGTGCAGACTATTTAAGATGCACAGTTCGACTAACTGTGTTAGTCAAACTATGCTGTTCGACTAACACAGTTAGTCTGTTAGTCGAACACAGTTCGAAGTTAGTTTAAACTAACTAGCAAGTTAGTTTAAACTTGCTGTTTTGATTTTTTTTAATGTTTTAATGAGTGTTGATATTTTTTTGTACTTGAGCTACCTGGAGCGGGTTTTGGGAGTTGTTCTACTCCCTGAGATCAGTCTGAGGCCAGGCTCGGGGTTAGTCTGTGTGCTAATCAAGAAATATTTTATTTATTTATCCTCATATGTTTTCTTATTTATTCTCTGATATGTAGTTGTAGTGTTTTGTGATTTCAAGGGTAAAAGTTGCCCTCTGAAACTGAGTTATCTTGGAAATGGAAAACTTATCAATTGAAGTTGAAGATTAACCTCCATAGATAGTTCCTGAAAGATTGGAGAAGTAAGGACTCTGGTAAAATCTGTGGTGGTAGTCCGATACACAAGATGGCTGTGGTAGGTAGTGTTATCAGCAAAGTGAACTGATTTGAGATGTGGGAAGTATTTGGGAGGTCATTAATATAAATAAGAAGTGGAAGAGGGGCAAGCATACTTCCTTAAAGAATGTCAATGCTTATTGGAAGTGTGGGTGAGGCAGCATCATTAAAAATGTACTGGTGTGTTATTTGCAGGATGAGGAGAAGAACAAGGAAAATGATAGAATGCGTCGCTTCATGGAAGTATTAACAGACAAGCAACCTGCATCTGTATTAAAGCATAAAGGTAAGGATAACTGGATTACTAACTGGCTATCTTGAGGTTATCTTGAGATGATTTCGGGGCTTAGCATCCCCATGGCCCATTCCTTGACCAGGTCTAGCTTTTATTACACATCCATAGGAAGCAGCCCAAAGCAGCTGTCTAACTCCCAGGTACCTATATGCTGATAGGTGAACAGGGGCATCAGGGTGAAAGAAACTCCATTTGTTTCTGCATCTGCCGAGGATTGAACCCGAAACCTTAGGACTATGAACCGTGAGCGCTGTCCACTCAGCCATCGGGTCCCTTAGCAACTTAGCTACACACATTTTCTCCACTTTGACAGCTTTGGTTTTCACTTTGTAATTAGTCTCATTCCAGATATGTGTATGTCATACCTGGTCATTTTTTACATGACTTTAATTTTAACGTAATTTTTAAGTAACATATTTTGAATTGTGGCTATTATTATGCCTCGTATGTTGTATCCCCTCAGGCGAGTGTAGTGAGGTAAAACCTTGAAGTGTACTGTGCTCTTGAGACCACGAGGCATTACTGATAACTAAAATATTATGCCAAAATAAAAATAAAAAGTTGTGTGCTCATAGATACATATGTACAGTAAACACAAACTAATTACTGTACACTGTATATATAATTTAATATAATGAAATTATATTTAATTTGTGTGTGTGTGTACATATATTGTACAGTACAGTATATAAATTCACACACGGCAAGATGCCCAAAGCGGTATAGAGAAAGGTGGGTGGTTTTAATCTTAGAATGTCATAAATTGATGATGTTGCTCTTGCTCATATCCAGTAATACTAGTCCATAAACTCGAGCATAGAGGAACGCAACAGGCAGGGAATGTACTAGACTTAGTAAAGTGAAGGGCAGTGGTAAGCAAGGTCCTACATGGCTTGCTTCTTGAACCCTTGCAGGTCCTGATGTGTGTGTAAATGACTTGCCTTAGGATATAAGATCTTGCATGACATTGGTTGCCCAGAAGATAAAACTGATGAAAAGGGTAAGAAGGCATTGGTGAGTTTGCATATTACAAGATGACATAAAAGGTTGCAATTTTAGTCCAATAAATGCCTACTACAGTTTGTGCCCCTGCTCGTGCATAGCTATGAAGATATGAGGAGGTGTGTGTATAGTAAGCCAGAAGGATGGTACATGATAAAAGAAATACAATTGTAGGACTTTTGAAGATTTTTTTATTTTTTTATTTTATAGGCTTGACAGTATTGCTAATTATGCTGTCTCTATTATTTAAATGTAAATTTTTTCTCAATAGGTCGTGTGAAGGTGCCTAAAGTGACATTCCAGACGCCGCCGTCTTTTCCTTCTGCTAGGGGCTCACTAATGGAAGTCTCTCTCCATGAATCACATGAAGCTCACTATACTAACACACTTAGGTGAATGTCAAGTTCCTAAATAAAGTGCTCAAATTAGCATGTACAGTATCTGGTTTGGAATTCGTGTGTGATGTTTAAATAATTATATTTTGAAGAAACCTTTGCATGCATTGCATTCATTTATAAACTATAAATTGTTGATCAACTGTATGTATAGCATAAATTCCAAAATACTTCATATTTTATACACCGCACATTTAAATATAGAGAAGAAATTATATCATCGCTACCGTATTTGCAGTATTCAGGTGGTGAAAGTGGGAAATAGCTCAAGTATGGTTCAATTTTCTAATATATTTTTAAAGACTGACCTGCCAAGGTTACATCCCAGAATGGCAGATGTTTCTACCACTCAAATATCCTCCCATGTTATACATACATAATTTGACACTGAAGAACCTAAGGAAGGTTGCTTCAGAAATGGGCTAAATATTTTGGACATAAATTTGTGTTTTCCTGCTTTATATTTACAACGTAAGTTTTCTTTATATATGTCTGCAATATAATAACGGCATCAACCTCTTTCAGGCTGATATTTTTGCCAGCAAATATACTGTACATGCAAGTATTTATTGTGTTTTGGTAGATAAATAACTGTCAAGTAAGGAGAATTTATTTTACTGCTTTTGCAGTGGTGTAATCTCCCATTGCCATTTCTTTTTCTTTTTGTGCTGGTATGGCATTCTCATAGTATGAGAATATTACACATTGACAACTACACAATGAGAATTAAATGTCCCACAAAAATTCATAACCAAATATGTACTTAACTTCAAAGAATTTAAATAAGGAAAGTAATGTTTAAAAGAGATGATAGTCACAAGCAACCCCAACGTTAGTGGAGCTGCAACTATAATGGATTGATGTTATTTGCAATTTAGCTTTGAATGGAATGGCAACTTAATGCTATTGAAAGAGCTGCAAATAGGATGAGAGTAATTCTGTTTTCTAGTTTATTACTAGTTAATATTTTTTATACCACTAAACATGTGCATTAATTTTTCAACTCTCCTAGCATTTAGTGGAGTTTCTCTCTGCCTTTAAACAACCTTTCTTCCTGTTCTCAATATCCATATTGCTGCAGGAAGAGAATTTGTTTTACTGGGTGCAGTATCTTTATTACATTCCATAATTATGTCTAACCTCTTTGAGCAATGCTTTGTTTTGTAAAAAAAAAATCTCTTTGGCAGCTAGTTGCCTTGAGAATGGCATGGTTTTAATTATTTATAGATATTCTGTAGGGCTAGTCACATTTAGAAACTAAATATTCTCATTATCATCATCATCACTAAGTGACATGTCTCTTGTCACTGCTGCAGTTGGGCTAATCAAATGTTCAACAGATAAATATACATTTTCTTAACATTTGTTAGTTTTGTTCAGTTTTCACGTTGTGGTATTGATCCGTTACACTACTATAAAAGGATTTCTTTTCTCGCTAACATTATTTGGGTTATACATGTACATTATTCATGGCCATTATATCCTTTTGGAATATGTTATCACTACTTACAGATTATGTGAATGGGTTTAACTTTTATTTCTAGTCTCTTTTTAATTTAACTATCCAGTTATGTACATAAAGGAGACAAATTTAACATGGAAATGTCTTGATGAATTGGAATTTACATTGGTGAGATTTTGTTTGAAATAAGTTTCAATACAGTACTTTTTATTGCTGTTAAATTACTAATGAATCATTTTCAATATTTCTTCAGCATGGAATGGATTTTTTTAAGAATAAATATATCATACAAACCCAGTTTTATTGATCATACAACTTGGTTAATATATGTAATTATTGTGCAGTCTTCGGAAAATGCCCTCTCGGAGAGTAATGAATCCTGGGACTTGTCAGTTATCTTGGCCGAGGACGAAGCTATCTCTCTTAGTTTATAGTTGAAGGTTGCTGATGTTCCTTGTTCTTATGAATTGTGAGAAAACTTGTATCTAGGGTACAGAGTTATTTACCAAGGCCTGGAATACAGATTCATGTTAAAGTTTAAGGTATGGTTACTGGGCATCCATCTAGGGAATTTCCTTAACCTTGACTGGAACTGATGCTAATTTCTGTGATGGGTAATTTTTCTTTATGGATAGGTTATGTGTAGAATACCCTTTAGATGTTGAAGAGTTTTGAAATAGTACCTAAAAATATGAAAATTGCTATGACCTGGCTTTACCATCATTTGAGAGTTTATTAGCAAGGTTTTTCCTGAGAGATAAGACTAACACTCCAATGGGGGGGGGGGAAGGTAGAAGGTGATATCTCTGGACCAATTGCTGAGGCCTACATAAAACTGATATCAGATATATACAATGCATGTCATCAATTTTGAAATATGCAATGCCAGTTTGAAGTCTTCATCTTCTTAAAACTCAAAATAAAGTTAGAGCTGAAAAGGATAAGTTATAAGGAATTAAGATCTCTAACCTCATGTTACTGGAAGACAGAAGAGTTAGGAAAGGCATGATTACTGTACTGTACATATAAAACATTCAGGGTAATTGACAGGGCAGACTACTTACTATTCCTGGAACAGGTGTACACAAACAAGGGAACACATGGAAACTAAGTACTGTACCCTAATGAACTTGCATAGAGACAAGAAAGCTTTAAAAGTGTTAGTGAAGAAGTGGAATGAACTAAAAAGTCAAGTGGTGGAGGCAGACTAAACATAGCTTCAAGTGCAAGTTCTATAGTGTTCATTAGGCTCGGAAATGTAAATGCTGAGAGGTGAGACCAAAGAGCAGAAACTTATCCCCCTCATAGGCACAATTAGATGAGTACATTTAAAACTGAATAAAGTTACCTTTTGAATGAAGGTAGTAAAGGAAGTTATCCTGGGTAGTAGTTTAACAATACCTGTACTGTAGTTTATTGTGAACCCCATGCTCATGCTAAAAGAGGAAGTTTATTGTGCACCCCATACTCATCCTATGAGAGTTGTGCACCCATACTCATACTGTGAGCAGCAGTTTATTGTGTACCCATGCTCATCCTGTGAGTGGTAGTTTATTGTGCACCCCATACTCATCCTATGAGAGAGTTGTGCACACATGCTCATCTTGTGAGTATTAGTGCAAAAGGATTACAGAGGGCCCAAAAGTTCTTAATTAAGAGGATCATTTTTAGTATTTCAGTGAGGAAATTGAGACCACAGACTCGAACTGATGGAATATTAATCTTTGTGAAAGCTACAATTAAAAAAATTGTACATAATCTAAAGGACATCACACTTTATTGTGTCACATTAAATTAATTAAATTTAATATAAAGATAAGCATTTTATTTTTTATTTGGAAATACAGTATGTCATTTATCTGTGAAAATATTCAATTTATCTGGAAATAACACATTTATAATAATAATAATAATAATAATAATAATTTTTATTTAGGCAAAGGTACATACATAAAGAGATTTTACAAAGTTTGTTGGCTTTATAGATAGAGCTAGTACATACAATGCCTAAAGCCACTATTACGCAAAGCGTTTCGGGCAGGAAAAAACACTACTGACTAAAGCTTAAAACTAATGGGTAAAAAGAAAAAAATGCGTTGAGTACAAATAAAAATAGAGGTAAAAGAAGGGGGAACATTGTTGAAAAAAACAGCACAAATACAATTACAAATTATTACAGAAAATTACATTAAAACAGCGTTGATTTGAAAAACAAAAAAAAAACAAAAAAACAAACATGGGTTGACAATAGAGGGGTAAGGTAGGTTACAGGGAATTTATTAGGTATAGCTTCGTTTTTATCTGTGAAAATGTTCAATTTATCTGGAAATATTACATTTATCTGTGAATAAATGTAATATTTATAGTTATAGTTACCATTTATAGTTATACAGTACAGTATTTGACTTTTTTTCACAGCTTTTAAAACCCATAAATTTTGAGTCAATCTTGGAAAGGGGGAAAATGACATTCTGACATATGGTGTAAACTGTTAAAAGTGCACGGGGGAAAAATGTGTAGGCTGGTAGACTACACTCGCATTATGGTAAGTATGACTACCAATCATATATGTGAGTTGGGGGATACAGTATTTATTTATTTATATACAAGGAAAAACATCGGGTTGTGAGAGTACATACATTGTTGATTATTAAAACATTCCTGCAACGCCATTCACACGCATATGTTCTGGCTGTCCCTTGACTTATTTTATTTATTTTATATACTAGAAGGTACATTGGGTTTGTGGGAGTACATATCATTGTTCTTACATTGTTGCAAAGCCACTAACACGCATAGCGTTTCGGGCAGGTTCTTAATCGAACAGATCGAACAGAAAAGGTAAGATTATTAATAGGTACATTACAGCAAAATTTGAGTTCAACATAACTCCAATATTTTTTTTTCTAAATTGATGTAAATTAGAAATTATTACAATGGTGAAGGTGCATGTCTTAAGTACAAATATGGAGTGTTTGCACAGATTTAGTTTGACTCTGGGGATATCAAAGAGATCAAATATCAAAGAGATAAAAATTTCTGGTATGATGTTCATAGGTTCTATTGCATCTATCAAGTAAGAGTTTCAGATCAGGATTATCATTTAGGGACAAGGTTTTGTACATGTAAATAGCACAAGAGAATGTGTGGAGTGGGTGTATATTTAGCATGTTTAGGGATTTAAAGAGAGGGGGTTGTCTGAAGACAGTTTGATATAGTTATTTTGCTGGGTGATCATGGGCTTGTGCTCTGTAATCCCTTATACCGTATAGAATATATACAGTAGTAGCTAGCAGCGCACCGCTGTGTAAATTTGTTTTATAATAGGTATGGTATCGTTAGAAATTTGGTTCATGTTACGGTCGGTCATCTTAAGAATACAATACTGTATATGGTTCATTTAGATACAGAAGTTCACGTTTTCTTTCGGACGTTGAAAGAAAACGCGCCTTGCAAAGTTACTCAATTCACTCGAGGGATCAGTGACGTCACACCGACACACTAAGGGCCCCACTCTCTCTCTCTCTCTCTCTCTAATGGCCTCGATGATGACAGGAAGCCGGCAGCTTGTCAAAAGTAAGTGTCCTGATAATTTTATTTAGCTGGATTTTGAATTACAGCAGTGTTTTTTGGGGGAGGGGGGTGGGGGGGGGGGGAAATTTCCGACTTTGGCGGATAGACGGTTCCATAAATTTCTAACCTTACCCAGGGTGGAAAAACATCTATTTCCCATAGCGTGGTGGTAAGCCTTGCGTCGACGACCCTATTAGTGTTTGCTTGGAACACGACCCGTCACGTGTTGCCATTATATATGTGCCCATTATGTGAGTGGCAGTGGAAATGGTTACATGCTAGGCACATATTATGATTATTATTTTAGTTTTATTTAGTTTTTACCCGAAAAAGTTACTCCTTATATATACACTCATAGCTTTAAGTTATGGCCAAAACGTTAAGGTAATTAGTGGTTCATAAAATATACAAATACTCTATATAAGTAACCATTGTGATCTAATCCTCTGTATTTTAGAAATAAAATAATATTATTACTATTTAGACATGTATTGAGTCTTTCCTTCCTGCGCCTTCATTAAAACACTACGAAAATGTAGTAACTTACTCATTATATAAACTATATAACTATAAATGCCAATCCTGATCTTAAAAGCTTCATAGAAGGTTGTAACAGAACCCATGAGCACCACACCAGAAATAAATACAGTTTTGATATTCCTAGAGTACGTCTTAATCAAACTAGAAATGCTCTACAAATCAAGGGGCCCAGAATGTGGAATGACCTTCCCAACCATGTTAAAGACTGTACCTCTCTCAACCAGTTTAAGATAAAAACTAAACACTACCTAATAAATTCCCTGTAATCTACCTCACTCCTCTATTGTCAACCCATGTCTGTTATTTTCTTTTTTTTTTTTTAATCAACACTGTTTGTCAACCTATTGTATTTGTGCTGCTTTTTCAGTCATGTTCCCCCTTTTTTTATCTTTATTTGTATTTGTTCTCAACACTTTTTATTCTTTATGCTCAATTAGTATTAAGTTCTAGATATTAATGTTTTTCTTGCCCGAAACGCATTGCGTAATAGTGGCTTTAGGCATTGTATGTACTAGCTCTATCTATATATCAATCCATTAATGTAACATCACTTGTATGTATATACCTTACCTGAATTATTATTTTTGTTGTTAACATCAAATGGGATCGAGAAAATAAGACAAGATTGAGAAAAGACAAATTGGCTGAAGGGTAACCTGTGGCGCAGTGGTCAGCGCACTCGGCTCACAACCGAGAGGTCCTGGGTTCGAATCCCGGGCAGGGCGAGACAAACGGGCAGGTCTCCTTAAACCCATTGCCCATGTTCACCTAGCACTAAATAGGTACC